CTATTTCTTTCTTTTTGTGGTGCTAATTATGACGCGATCGTAGCCATGACAGATGTTTTGTTTGGTTTTCCAGCCCTCTGATAAAAACCGAACACAAAAATCTTCTGTCTTTGGTTGAATTGCTCCTCCAGCTGCAGTTGCTCCAGCGTCGGCCATTTTTCTGCACATCATAATCATCCCCCACCCAGCCGAGGCAAACTGGAGAGAGTAAACATCCAGAGCACCACTAAGCTGCTCCAAACACGCTTAATCACTTCTTGAGATTGGGAAGGGTGGCAGCAGTGGGAGCAGAGGCGCAGCGTAAATATGTGCTGGAGAAATGGGTTGATTTGCTTCATTTACATTCAAGCGCCATGAAGTTGTCGTTCCCTTGTCAGCGCGACGGGGAATAAAGATGAGAGCGAGGTTGCTCTCGCCTTGGTCTCCTTCTGTTGGTTGATAAAACGACAGGCAGCAGTTGACTGGGTGACAGGGACTCCCTGCGTGTTGCTGACAGCCCTCACCCAGCGCCGTTGATAAAGTCATCAGGGCCTCTGCTGTAACAATGCTGCTGTTTGCAGATTAGCGAGACACGCTGTATTTACAGTATGTGGCTCATGTAATAGGAATGTCGCTTCTACTCCCATAAAATACACCGAAAGACTTGCAGTTGCTGACATGGATAATTATTTCCTGCATCATATAGACCGTCACAGCATGACGTCACATCCCCAGCTTCTTGTTAGAGGGCAAAAAGCTCCTTGCTAACGATGACTAGCATTGGTTTTAGCTATTCAGTTGTCGATATAATGTGTGATTTATTAAAGAAAAAGGGAGGCAGTGTTTGCTACTAATATTCAACACTGCAATAACAACAAGGTCAGGAAAAAGCTTTAATTAAGGAAAAAACATAGTGCAAGAGACGAAAGTAATTTAGCTATGCTAGCTTGACTATGACAACCGTAACATGTAGATGTGCTGTGGAATTTGGTTTTTGGTTTAGTTATAAATTAAAAGAGGTGACTAAAACACACAAACTCTGACAGATCATCAGTGGAGCTGTGCTGTGTTAGATTAGCTAATAGCACCAGCAGCTAATGTACCACTGATGTGTTAGATTAGCTAATATCATTGGTAGCTTTGTGTTTATTCCACAACAATTCGAATAAACCTTGTGGTTCCTGAGATGTAAGGAATTCCTCAAGGCTGTGTCTTTGGCCACAGTAA